TGGTGATTCAAACCGGGTTGTAAACCGACAGTTTGAACAGCCTTGTCTGAAATCGATCTCTCCAGCCGCTGTCCTGTCCGGAAGCCCTCCCCAAAGCTTTGCCCCCTCCCGGCCAGGATCGCACGGCGCACTGAGTCTGAAAACATGGCAGAGGATGGGGGGGGAATCAGTGATGGGGAGGCGGGCAGGGCTTGGGCGTTCAGGAGTGGGTAGGTGGGTGTCAGGCAGGGCGGGCTCGCTTGCTTACTGGGTGATGTCGGCGAAGAGGTCCCTCCCTCGGATGTTGTCGTGGTGGATTTGGTATCAGGTGAGATTGCCAGGCGCGGCATACCGGGGGGCGGTGGCGCCAACATCTGTGTGGGAAGGTAGTGCCCGGGTACCTTCACTTGGCCACTTCCATTTAACTAGGGACACAACACAAAATAAAAAAACAAACAAACACACACACACACACAGCAAGCTGTTAGCACCACCCACTGGAGCTGCCTGCCCGCCCCGGGGGAACCTCCCCCCTCACAACGGGACAGGCTTCTGCAGAGACCACACTGGCCTGGGGGGGTCCTGGCCGGCCTGCCTCTCAGCCTGGCCTCCCCACCAAAATGGTCATAGCTAACAAGTCACTTTTCAGTCAGTGCACATCTTTCTTTTAACATCCGACAAAGCCTTCCCCTTTCCTCTACTGTCTAGTAGGCCAGAGTTTGGCTAGGGAGGCCCCCAGATCCTGCCCCTGTTTTATTGGAACTGATCCTGCCCCTGTTTTATTGGGCCAGAGAGACAACAGGCTGTTTCTAGGGTGGGCTAGATGACAGGTTACATACACAACAGACCTGGGCTGCTTTTCCCTGTTGCTGAACGTGCACTCAAGGGCAGGAGCCGTGCGGGTAGGGAGCAGAAAGGGGGAAAGGGCTTTTTTATTTTTAGGGAAAGGGGGGGGGAATATTGGGAAAGCATCTTTTTTTAAAAAAGATACTTCTTTTTAACCCTGCAAACGAGAAATGAGATAACGAGGTTGAAATGATAACTGTTGCCGATGAAGAAGGGAACGATGCCCGCAGCCAGGGCTGGTACAGGCGGAAGGGGGTCGCGTCATGGCTTGGCCAGTCCCTTCTAAACTAATAGCCTAAGCTAAATGCTGTATGCTTTTTAAACATACACAATGGGAAATAATATAGTGACACAGACCAATCACAAGATAGGAAGCTCATGGATTACAAGACACTATTCTTCACGGGGTTTTGAAGCTTTGTTGCTCCTCAGAGGTCTAAAGTGCTTCTGAGGTCTCATGATAAGCTCCAGTATAGAATTATCGAAGGAAGACTGCATGAACTATACTCTCTGATGGAGAAATGCAGGGGTCATTTCCTGCAGGAGCGCACAGGAGCAGAGCTCCGGCAGTAAAGAGCCCAGGGGGCGGGCACATGCAAGAAGCCCCACCCCCTGCTCTCAGCGGCCCTTAGTCAGAGCAAGAAGCAGCCAGGTAAGCTGCAGAGCCCCCCCCACCGGGGTCTCGGTCCAAAACAGTCCAGTGGCACCTTTAAGACCAGGTTTTATTCAGGTACAAGCTCTCCCTCCTCTGTGGGGACAGATCTGCACATTCCCCCCCCCCCATAGCTAGCAATCCAAAACAGTCCAATGGAGCCTGAGTGGTGGATGTTCCCTTCTGACACACTTCCGGTGATGTCAGGGGGTGTGGTATATGCAAATAAATTATGCTAATGAATTATGCTAATGAGCTCCTGCACCTCTTTTTCTACGAAATGACCCCTGGAGAAAGGAAATGCCTGAGACCTCCTGGGATCTGCCTTAGTAGTAGTTCCATTTAAAGAATTTAAGGATTGCCACATCTATGTGGACATATTGGGGAGTTCTAAGCCTTGCCAAGCTCATCTTGGCACACTTTTGACAATACTGGTCCGGTTCAAGGTCTATATCTTTATTGATATCAATGTTTAAAAAGGACTCCCCACCACCACTTCGGTGACTTTGTAGAAGAAGAAGAGAAGAGATTGGATTTATACCTCGCCCTTCACTACCTCAAAGGTGTCTCAGAGCGGCTTACAAACTCTTCCCTCCCCCTCCCCACAACAGACACCCTGTGAGGTAGGTGGGGCTGAGAGAGCTCTTGACAGAATCTGCTCTTTCTCAAGGACAGCTCTTATCAGAGCTACCGCTTGCCCAAGGCCATCCAGCCAGATGCAAGTGGAGGAGTGGGGAATCAAACCCGGTTCTCCCAGATTAGAGTCCGCGCACTTAATCACTACACACCCCAGTCTTGGAATCCATGAGCTTTCTATCTTGTGAATGGTTTATGTTATTATATTCTTTTTCATTGTGTATGTTCGAAACAATAGAAAACTAGATATGAGAATACTTCTGAAAGTTTCATTATACAAAAACAAAAAAACCCTTAGACTTGATATCTGAGTATTTATTGTTTTAAAAAAGCTTAGGCTATTAGATTAGATTCTCGCGTCTGTATTCCTTTTCAATTAATTTGTTGGCCAGTTCCTTGGCAGATGTACGGCCAAAGAGAGTTTGGGAAAATCTAGGGCAACCCAGAGAAGGAATCAGGGATTCCACCATCTCCTCCCTCCAATCTGAAAACAGGTTATCGCCTTCAGAAGAGGATGAAATTTGGGCTCCTTTAAACCCCCGGAAGGAGTCACCCTCTACATATAGACCCCAATCAGAAAATCAATTTGTGGGGTGAAAGAAAGGGAGGCCAAAGAAGGACCTGGAGAGGGACAACAAAATAGCCATCGACAGCACTGACTTCCCAGAATCAGAGCCGTGCAGCAGTTAAGAGTGTTGGGCTAGGGGCTGAGGAGACCCAGGTTCGAATCCCCCTTTCTGCCACAGCACTCAGTGGATGACCCGGGGCCAGTCGCTCTCGCTCAGCCTAACCTACCTCGCAGGGTTGTCGTGAAGATAAAAAGGGGAGAGGAGGCCCATGCATGGCGCCCCGAGATCTTTGGAGGAAGGGCGGGGTAAAAACGTGACAGACTGCAGGAAGGTTGGTGCCTATTCTGGAAAGGACCCCATTTTGAGATGAAAAAAAAATCTAAAAGCAGAACAAAAAAACAAAAAAAAGAGGAGGACACGAGAAGGATGCAAAGGAACATATTTCCAGCGAACCAATACAGAAATGAAGGGGAGGGACTGGTTCTGATGGTACCTCTTTGTTTAGCTCGGGCGGGCATGGCTGTGGTGTGGATGACGAGGAGGATCTACTGACAAGTCTGGGCCATTGCTGGAGCCACTAATTTAGGAGCGCTAAATTCAGAAGCCTTATATTTCGCTCCTCCTGCATACTTAATCTGAACTGGTTCGCAACGAATCGAGCCAATATTTTCACCTGAGATTGTTAGCTGCCTTCAGCCACAATGGGAAATACAAATATTTAAATAGACAAGGGTCACGGGGGCCCGTTCCGCTCAGAAATAGGGGATGTTACCAAGGGGTGGCACGGATTTTGGGCCAGGTTCCGTCAGGAAGGGGAGATTTGTCCCTGTGATGCTGCAGGGAAACTCTCTCACTGCATCCTGGGAGAACTGCCCGGAGTGTACTAAGCATGACGCTCCCCCAAGGTGGCCAGTTGGCGGGGGGTGGGGGTGGCATTATCCCAGAACGACGCCTGATCTTGGAGGGTGGGCTCTATGGCGTCACATTCCCCACTGAGCCCCCTCCTCTTCCTAAAATCTGCCCTCGCCAGGCACCACCCCCAAATCTCCAGCAATTTCCCAAGCTGGAGTTGGCTGTGCCAACAGGGTCTCAAGGCCATGAAAAGGTTGTGTTCTGCCCCTTCCTTCGGGGGGGGGGCACCAGAGCGCCCCCCCAAACCTAGAGCACCCCCCCCCAAGTTCTCTCCCAGCAAACCTCCTTCCAAGCACTTTTCTTCCTAAGGAGTGGAGACTGGTGGGGAGTCTGGGGACCAAGGCGAATAGACTTCACACTGTTCCTCGTCTCGCTCTTTCTGTCAGCCCCACCCCCACGCTGTCTACTTTACTCCCCCAAAATCCCTGCTCAGATGTGTAACTGCCCCATCATCACACGAAGTCTGCGCTTCATAATTCACTCTTACGCAGGGCTGTTTTTGGGCAGGAACGCACAGGAACGGCGTTCCGGCTGGCTTCGGAGTTGGCCACACCCACTACAGCCAAAACCTCTGCATGCGTGGCTACAGAGGGAAGGCCTGGAGAGTGACCCACCCGGCGACTCTGAGGCGGGCCGGCCGGGGGGCCCTTGAAGGATCGGGGAGGCATTTAAATGCCTCCCCATGCCTTCCCCGGCCTGTCCAAGTGCCGGCTTGCCCAGGCTCCCTGCAGCAGTGGGGTGCCCAGGCAAGCCAAGGGAAGGCATGGGGGTGTGGCCTAATGAGCTGTGATGTCAGGGGGTGTGGCCTAATATGCAAATGAGTTTCTGCTGTTGGGTGTGGCTTATTATGCTAATGAGTTCCTGCTGGGCTTTTTCTACAAAAAAAGGCCCTGCTCTTACGGATTAGGCATCTCAAGTTTTCAGTCCTCCCTAATTAAAACCAAGTTTCTCAACGCCGCCCCACGTCTGAGATCGTTCATCATAGGCGCTTAAACACCCATGCGGAAACAAGGTTTCGAAAAACAGATCCGCAGAATGGGGTGGTGGTGGCCTGCAAAGCTCCGAGGAAGCCTACAGATCATATTAAGTGAACACATGAACGCGTGAAGCTGCCTTATACTGAATCGGGCCCTCGGTCCATCAAAGTCAGTGTTGTCTGCTCAGACCGGCAGCGGCTCTCCAGGGTCTCCGGCGGAGGTTTTTCACATCACCTCCTACCTGATCCTTTTAACTGGAGACATTGGAGATTGACCCTGGGACCTTCTACATGCTAAGCTCTGCTGCTGAGCCACGGCCCCTCAAACGGGGTGTATACAACCCCCCCCTACACAGAGTCCACAATTTTCATTGCAGTTTGCCACAAGGATTTTTTGTGTGTGTGGTGTAATGATTAGGTTGTCATACTAAAGCTGTTAGGTCCAAGTCCATTAGCAGAGATCAAAAAGATTTTCGGAGTATAAGCTTTCAAGAGCCATGGCTTCCTCCATCAGGGGGAACTCTGACTCACAAACGATTGATTATAACCAGAAAATCTCGTTGGTCTCAAAGGTGCTACCAGACATGAATCCGTTTCCACTGCAGGGCAACACAGCTGCCCTCTGGAACCACATTAAGTCCGGGGAGACCCAGGTTCAAATCCTGACTCACACTTGAATCCACTCTCAATGCACTTTAAATTATCATTTGCACATGGATTTTGCCATTTTGCACAGTAAAACCCAGTTGTAAAGTGCATTATTTAGTGTGTGTGAACGCATGGTGCCGTCATACGGGCCATTTGGCTTACTCGGGAATCGCTCCTATTTCATCAGTTGGTATTTGAAACAGAGTCGCTCGATCGGACATCCCAGCATAATCTGTTCTGCTGCAGGATCAGGCCGTCACTGCACGATCAGACTGTGCGGATGGGCGAGGAGGGGGGTTTTTTTTGGCCTGCTTTTGCGCATGCGCATAAGCGAGGGTGCAGTTTTTTGTGCATGCGATTTCCAACTACCGGGAGTCGATTGTCCGCTTTAACTGCTCGCCGATCCTTCCATGGAGCATTGTGATCGCCTTGGTTCACAGTGAGCCCTGGTTGCCTGCCTTTCCTGCTCACTTTCAAAGCTGGCCTAGAGATGGGGCTGATTATGTGGTTATGCGCATATCGCTAAGCCAGCAAAAAAACAACAACTGGTGCCCAGTTGGGATGGAATGAGCAAACCATCCCGACAGCCTGAGAATGCGCTTGAGTGATCAGACTAGGGAAACTCCATCTGTGGCCCATCAGCAAGCATTAGGAACAGAGTTTCCCAGGTGTCTTTTTACTCCATCTTGGGGGTGGACCAGGATGGGGTGCCGACGACTACAGAATCTCTCCCAGATGTTGCTGTCTGATCGTGCACTTTAGATCCGCCAGGCATCGTCAGATCTAAAGGCACGTCCGTCCGCAGCCTTAGTTTTTCCAGTGCACTGGATAACTTCAGGTCAGGCCCTCTCTCGCTGCCTAACTTACCTCATAGGGCTCTTGTGAAAATTACAACGAGGGCAGGGAGACCCCTGTACTCTGTTCATGCCACCATGAAGTGCTTGGGGGGCAGGGCGGGGAGAACAAGATCCAAATGGAGCCAAACAGAATTAGTTTTAATCACCAGAAGTATGGAATGATGCCTTGGAGCAGAAGGCACTGGCAGTGTGAACAACGAAGGCTTTGTTCGCAGCAGTGACTTCTGTTCGGCCTGCCATCACCTCTGGCTAAAACGGATTCTGCAAAGTTGCTGAAAACCAGGCAAAGGTACAGCATTCTGGGCTGGGTGAGCCACCTTCCCAGCAGGGTGTCTCCACTATCGTACCACCTCCGGTCCTGTCTCCAGCTTGTGGGAGGGGAGGGGAGGGGGGGCAGCCCAATAGCAGCAAGGGGCAGGTTAAAAGTCTTGGATGCATCCTCCTCCAGCTGCCCTTTGATGGAACCGCATGCCGGGAGGGGCTTCCCACTGAGGCGGGGAGGGGGGCCAGCTGGGAAGCATGCTGTACATCAAACGGCAGACCCGTGTGCGTGTGCATGTGTGTGCGTACATGACCGAAGGGAGGTGTCACGACTGCAGGGGGTAGATTTGATAAGGAGCCCCCCCCCCACAGAAATCCCTGGCATCAAAGCAAACCTGAACTCGTTCCCTCCAGCTAAGCCCCTCCCCCCCCCCACCTGCTTTCAAAGTCTTCACTGAGATTTCTCTAACGTGAATGCAGGGAGGGGCTGCGCTTTTGCAGTTCTGGGGATATCGGGAGCCAGTCCTATTACTTTGATCCTATTCTTCTCTCACCCCATCTTGTCCCCCACCCCTCCACACATCAGCTGTGGCACCGCCATGGACTCTGGTGAACACGGGGGAAGGTCTCAGCCCTGGGACACAATGAAGGTCCCTCCCTGCTCGCCCCCCACACCGTGATCATTCCCCAAATCCTGAGAGAGTAAATCCGCCACCCTACTTCTGAGTAGCTCTAACGCACAACCTTGCCTCAAATGAGCTCTTCGGGAGCACCTAACAATGCCTTAAAGGTAAAGGTTCCCCTTGCTCGAAAGCCAGTCGAGTCCGACTCTAGGGTTGCGGTGCTCATCTCCGTTTCAAAGCCAAAGAGCCAGCGCTGTCCGAAGACGTTTCCGTGGTCATGTGGCCGGCATGACTAGACACCAAGGCGCACGGAACGCTGTTCCCTTCCCACCAAAGTGGTACCTATTTATCTACTTGCAATTTCTTGCTTTCGAACTGCTAGGTTGGCAGGAGCTGGAACTAGAGACGGGAGCTCACTCCGTCATGCGGCACCCGGGTCTCGAACTGCTGAACTACTGACCTTCCACAGCCTGCAGTTCAGCATCTTAACCACTTGAGCCACTGCCTTACTTCGCTCTGAAGAAGTCAGCGGTGACTGACGGAAGCTCCTCCCCTGCCACAAATCTTGTTAGCCTTCAAGGTGCTACCGGACTCTGGCTCTTTTCTATTACTTCACTCAGGTTCCTGCAAAGCCACCTGGGGCACACTTGCAAGCTACAGGAAAGCAAAGCCCGCGTTCTGAGGCGGTACGGATCTTACGGCTGCAGCACAGAAGTCATACAGTAAAACAAAACGAAACCGGAAAACCAAAATGAAGCCGGTTGCTAGACCTCATGACAGCAGAGCAAAGGTATAGAAGTGGATGGGGTGGGGGTGGTGCTTGTCCTACAGGCGTCTGAGAGAACCAGGTTGACGGGTCCCCCCCTGCACCCCTTGAAATCGCAACCCAAACTGGGCAGCAGCCTGGACTCCCTCAGTCCTATCACATGTGAGCCCAGAAAGAGGGCGGGCATAGCCCTTGGCAGCTCCTTACCGGTCCCGGCTGTTGATTGGACGGGTCACAGGCCAACGAGACGAGGTCTTTCAGAGGATCCTGCGGGTTCAGATGAGGCGGGTACCTTATGGCTGTGTGGGGGAAGTAGGTGGAGGCCGTCTGGGGCAGGATCGAGGTGGTGGGGAAGTGCAGAGCGGAGGAAGGGTGGGGGCTTCGGGCGATACCTGCAGGGGGCGAGAGAGACAGAAAGGAGACCGGGCGGCTTTGGTCGCCAGCACACACCCAGCCCCTCCTGCTCCCGGGCACCACTGCGGAGACCTGGCCTCCCTCTAGCCTCCCCCTGGGGCACCCTTCCCAACATCATTGGGGAAGTCACCAGACTCTGCCCCCCCTTTTTCTACGCTACATACCTGGCTGAAAGAAAAGGTGTCCAGCTGGCACTGATAAAACTCCTGTGTGTACACTGGCAACTGGCACCAAAACTGCTTTCCTACCCACACTGTCCCAAGCTGCAGGAACTACTGCACCCTCTCCTGGCGCACACCCGACTTTCAACACCAATACACACGTGACTGCATCAAGATTCTTTCGGTGCGCTGTTTCGCTCACGTGCACATGCGCTCCTAAGAAGCAGGGATCTTTTTGTAGCAGGAACTCCTTTGCATATTAGGTGACACACCCCTAATGTAGCCAATCCTCCAAGAGCTTACAGTAGACCCTGTAAGAAGAGCTCTGTAAGCTCTTGGAGAATTGGCTACATTAGGGGTGTGTCGCCTAATATGCAAAGGAGTTCCTGCTACAAAAAGAGGGCTGCAAGAAGTACTTTGCGTTTTACCAAAGCACACATGTACTCCTGTGCATGGAGGGGAGGGAAAACACCACACGCAGAGAATGCTGATGTTTTACTGATGCCCACGAATGCTCGTGCCCCTACTGTCTTCCCATGAATGCCAGGACACCTAAGTAAAATCCCCTGAACATTAAAAAAGGCCACCTTTCAAAGGACAAAAAAATTTGTTAAAATGAGATTTGTGGGTGCCAGATCCTTCAAATAAAGCAACTTTATTTGCTCACTGTGATCACTTTGAAGGCAACCAAGAATTCATTTGCCATATTCGGTCTTAAACACAAACACTCATGTACACACGATACCAGAAATATGATGTCATTACCCCCCAGAAATAACTGAAAGAAAGAAAGAAAGAAAGAAAGAAAGAAAGAAAGAAAGAAAGAGAGGGAGGGAGGGAGAAAGGGAGAAAGGGAGAAAGGGAGAAAGGGAGAAAGGGAGAAAGGGAGAAAGAAAGGTGGAAAGAAAGCAAATAGATGAGTGTGTGTGGGAGAGAGAGAGAGAGAGAGGGAGGGAGGGAGGGAGGGAGG